AGCTGTAAATTCTTTTCCTTTCAGTGTCGTTTTTTCAAAATGTAATTTTAATTGTTATTTTTGGGAATTTTTTTTATTAGATTTTTAAACCTTAAAAGTTTTATTTATCATTTACTCAATCGATATTTCTCTTTATCCTATTGTCTCTTTCCTTGTTAACTAATGTCTCATCTTATAAAATAATTTGTTTTATTGGTTTTGTTGCACTTCATTATTTTTCAATAATTTACATTAATGATTGACGGCGTAAATAACACTGATAAGTGATCACTTATCATTAGTAATACTATGAAGCTTAGCTATATGTGTATTAAGATAACAATTCCTCGTTGATTAAGATTACTTAAGTATAATATTGTACTATTAATTTAAAATCTAAGTTGCAAATCTTTTTTTTATTTTTTTATTTTTCCATGTGAGAAACATGTAAGATTGGTTAGAACGACCAGACTGTAATCAAAATCGGTATGATATTAAGAAGCTAACTGGTTACATTAGTGATATTGAGATATTGGCATGTTGCTGAATATATTGATACTGATATATTCATATATCGATATCTGGTACTGCTATATCGATATTTATATTGGTATATCGATTTTGAAAATGGGTACTGATATATGATATTTGGTTATTGGTGTACTGTTTATCGGTTTTTGAATATTGGTGTACTGAAATGAGAATCATGGCTAGACTACGCGGAGATTTGAGAAAGGCCTTATCCATGCTTGCTACAAACGCTACAAATGTGAATGTGTCCTTCGAGCCTGTATAGTGGATTTTTTTAGGTGAGGCATAACGCATGCGGAATTTGGCTCCACCTTTTACTTCTGAGGTTCATCTGCCAGGGCCTAATGAGCTAGGACAGTGATAGTGAAGTCCTCAAGAGTTTTGTTAGATCTTTTTCTTAAATGGATGGCCTTAGAAGGCTAAACGATCTTCATTTGTTCGTGTTTGAAGTTAGAATTGTCCTTCTCCTAGGATGCTTATCAAGAGGCTAAGAAGCCCACCCTGCCTGCGGACACACTTCAGTTGCGACCTGTCCGACATTGGATATCTTATCCGAGGCATATGCCAGCGTCAGCATAATTCATAATTTCATTAGGGCATGCAGACTTCTCCCCTCAATAAGGGAATGTTTGTGGAGAATTGAAATGAAAATAATACATTGATACTAGGATATGTGCTGATGTGGGTAGGCTGATTGGTAGAGATTAATATTTTCATCGATTCTTGGATTAAAAAAAAAGGCCTGTCCCATATGGCTTTTGCAAACATAACGAATCATAATATAAATGTTTCTGAAATTATTTTTTTAATTTTCTATTATTAAAATTTCAATTTATCCTCTAAGATATTGTAGGTAATTATAATTAAACCAATAGAAGAAAAAGCGCAAAGGCATAAACTATTGTTATCAGTGATAACCTTCATGATTATTCCCTGATGGATAAGTTTAGCCAGTGAAAAACGAAATGGAAATTGAAAATAAATTATCAAATATATTCGTTTCAAATTTCGATCTAATGATATCTTTTTTTTCTACAAGAATTAGAACATTTCGTTTCAAATCACTGATACGTTGTCATTAATGAATTTTCTCAATAAACTTTGCATGAATAATATTAAAGATGAATTAATTAATTTATGGCGCAATAAATCATTGTCTCCGAGAAGTAAATGTTATTTGATATCACCATAGTAACATGCAATTTTTAGCTTTTTTTCATACTTTCGTCTCTTCGTTGCTGTTATCATCATCGTCTTCGTTGTAATCATCATCGTCGTAGTCGTCGTCATCGCCTTCACCATCTTCGTCATTGGTTTGTAAGGAAAATAAATTCACTGAAATGAATGGATAGCTTTGATATGGGAGTCAATCATTTCTTACAACATTTCCGACACCAATAAAAAATGAGACGGAATGACGAGTATCACCTACCACATTTTCGTTCCCTTATTTATTTCCACATTAATTTCTTTCTTCACTTCTTGTTAAAATTGAAATTTTAATTTGTTTAACTACAAATATCACGGCTTTTTTCTTTTTATGAACCACCCACAGTTTATAACGACGACAATTCTGAACTTTTTAAGTAATAGATGAATTGTTGCAATTTATTGCTGCTATCATGGCGATACTTGATAATGATAACAAATACCAAAGGAAATGATAACAAAACTTTTAAATGAAAATAAATTACTTAACTGCTAATTATGTTTTAAAAAAAGTATCGTACAGTCACTCATTCCTTAGAACACTCACTTTTTTTACAAATTTCTTTTTTCCCCAAACATTTATGCTATGTACCAAGTTATGGCAAAAGTTTACTGTATATTATATTTATGACATTCTTTTCGTCCACCATATTTAATTATGCTTATCAGCATAAAATTCTTTTCTTAGATATTCTTTTCTATTAGCAGCTCAAAAGCACAAAAGCTTCCTAAGTAGCAAACAATTTATGATAATTGCTCTCGAGTTATTGTATAGTCATTGTTAAGTTTACATTATCTCTCTAAAGCTTGTACATAGTCATTGTTGAGTTCATATGTTATCACTTTCGAGTTTATATATTATCAGTTTCGAGTTCATATATTATCAGCTCTGAGTTTATATATAATCGCCAATCATTCCCGAATTTTCCTTGACATATTTTTAAAGAAAAGTATTTTTTTAATGTCAAAGTTTTCAATGAAATATGACATTGTTGACCTATCTTTTTTGTCGTCCTCGAATATTCCCAAATTCCTTTATTTTCTTTTTCCCTAATTTACAAGCAGAAACTTTTATGTACTTATAATATAAGCAAAACAATTATGAAAGATGTATCCGGAAGAAAGTTAGGTTATGGAAGAAAATCAATAAAATATCCAATCTAGCTAGTTGATGCAGATAAAGAAGAGAAATAAACAACTGATTTAAGCATTGTTTTATGGGTTTTGTTAAAAATCTAAAAAAAAAAGCAAAAAACAGGAGAAATTAATATACAGTACCTATAACTCAATATATTTTAGAACTAAAACAAGGAAAAATATGTCAGGAACCAAAAAGCCTGAAAAGAACATTTACGTATACACGTGTTAAAACGTGAAGCAGATAAGTAGAACACGTGGAAGAATTACACAAAATTGACAATCGTTTGATATACAGAACATAATATCTGCATATCACCGTACAGCATCCATCACTGAGCTATTCCTTCAAAAATAAAGTTAATAAAAAAAAGGAAACGAAAACAAATACAAATTTAGTTTTGTATATTAATTTCCACCAGTAACAAACCATAAATGCCAATTTAAATTCCAGTGGTTTGTTACTTTGCCAAACATACAAAACATACTTCTAGTGATATTTTTGAAGGACATTTTTGCCTTTATTGGAACCTTTCTTTTTCTTCCATAAAATGGAGTAATTACCTGCAATTTTCTCCTGCGTTTTTTTTTTATTCAGTGATTTAATGTTACCATGCATTATGATACTCAAAATGGGCCATCAATCGAATGCACGCATAATCAGTAGCAATTATATTCCAAATTACCTCTCTTCTTTTTTTCTTTTTACACCAATCTCCTCCCTCAACTTTATCCTTCGTATCATTTGCGCCATATTTGCATTGGAAGCGAACATTGCGCATGTGTATCGCTTGTGGTTTTACACAGCTTGAAATGATTGAATTTTGACGTCAAAGACAGAGGTATATTTGTGACAATTAATTAACTGATCTGACGTCTGGCAAGATGATTGATTTGTGTGTGACGCATATGGTATACTGCCTAAATTAGCAAAACGCAACATTACATCGTTATATTGCGTCATGCATTTTGATTTAGTATCATTACATACCAAGTTTAGATGAGTTTTTTTAGGTTATTTAAATTTTCGGACTTTAAAGAGAAGTTCAACTGGAAATTTTTTAAAAGCTAATTTTGATATGGTTGTATAAATAAAGGGCTATATGCTTAATATTCAAAATGATTAGTTGATTAGCAGTATCACGCATTCAACTTATCAATAATACCATGACAATGATAGAAGTTCTGAATGATAATCTTATGACAATATCATGATTATGATATGACAAACCTTTCCTTTCAATTGAATTGAAAAATCTCGAAAACTTCTGCATGTATGCATCTTTTTCTTCTTTTTCAAGTAGGCTGTAGTCTTTTCTCTCACGATCTGAAGTATTTTCTTTCCTAACTTTTTTGATTCTTATTTTTGATTTATTCAGATTACTTCTCCTTCTTTTTCATTCTTCATTTGCAATAATTATAGATAATGAAATTTTCAACCAAATAAAAATGAACTGAGAGATTCTCACCTTCAAATGATGTAAGCAGTTTAAAAGGCAATTTTATAGTTCAGTTTATTTGAATATGATGAAAAATAATTGTAAAATACATCCAATTATTTGCTAAAAATCAAAAATTGAAGGATGCAAGGAATATTTTTGGGTTCATTTTCAAGAAAAATAACAAAGGAAGTTTTTCAAAGAATATTGAAAGGCTAATTTAAAGTTTTTAGTAAATGGGACATATTCAATTTTCGGATAATTTCAGGAAATCCAATAAGATAGACAACTTTTGACTGGACAAATCCACATATTGGATATCAATATTTCGACAAAAAATTTGTTATGTGACTAATTTAATTTAGAAAATGAAATAGTATTAAAAGAAAAATGAAAAAGACTTTAAAAATTTCCAAAATCACTTGGAAATTTTATTTTTTCTTTTTACATAATTTCCTTATTTTTTCTTAAAGGATTTCATATCCAAATGAAAGTAATTGCATTCAACCGCAATCATTGCATGGATTGTCGTCTAATTTATGCTTAATTCATTTCAAAGTGAATAATATGATATGAAAATTTCTTCACTGTATCGCACATCTCAATTCCTCTTCCTGTCACCATGCTTCCTTATTCCTCCTACTTATCGTTCTCCTCCTCCGCAATTTTCTGGTTGTTATTTCCATTTGTTGAAATTTTCGTCGAATTTGCCCCTTTCTTTTCCATGTATCTAAAATTAAATTGAAAAATTTTCCATATAAATCCATTTTTAGTGATATTTTTTTTCATCGAGCATATAACCTTTAGTTTCTTCCTTACTTCAAATTCTTTTACTTTTTTTTGTTCCCAAAAAATATTTAAAAGTTAAAATATTTGAAAAATGATAATTTGGTAAAATGATAACTCCGTTGTGATCTTTCCAGTATTTTAAGATTTACTTACATCTCAAATTAACCAATGACCTATTGATCAGTTGCCAACTGAACATTATATTCTAATATTTTTACTGGCATTTTAAGCAAACTTTATAGAACTATCGCAACATACACTAAACTAACATCAGATTTATTCATACCTATATGTAACCACAAATTGCAAGTAAATTCGTGAAAATAAAACTTAAAAGAAAATTTGTAATTATTAAACTTTCAACAGAATAAGAAGTGCTATTCCAAATCATTTGCTCTTTTTAACATTACAACAAACATTTTTTTTCAATCTTAACAAACATCAATTAATTAAAAACAATAGGATTCAACTTTCCATCTACAGTACACAATGTAAATTATTCACTTTTATTTCTTTTTCAATTTAATTTCCATGCATTATTACTAGTATGCTCTCGATTTGATTGACATTATTTTGTCGGTGAAAAAATGCAAACGAAACTTTCCATTTCCTTTTCATTCTTCAAGCAACGCCATTCTACGGGAACTTCAACTGAAATGAAACCGACTTTTGAAAAATTAAAAAATTTCCAATTTCTTCGTTCGTTCTCTTCTAACCTCATTAAAATGTTTCGGATATGTAATCTTATTCTTTCTTTTACAAATTTCCTTTAAACTTTTCGCTTACATCTTAAAATCCAATTTAGATATAATTTAGTGCTGAAATTTGTTATTGAATAAAGAATCAACTTTTTTCGCAGGAATTTTACATTTCTATCTTTCATTTTTGTTTTTTTCGCAGGAATTTTACATTTCTATCTTTCATTTTTGTTTTTTTCGCAGGAATTTTACATTTCTATCTTTCATTTTTGTTTTTCTCCGAGAGAAA